TCTTGTTTGAAAGTCACAGAGTTCAGTTAATACACCAGAGGGTCAGAGGAGATGCAAAATGAGTGCAGAGACACAAACCAGCCACAAGAAGACACAAAATGAGCAGAAATTACCAGAAAGACACACAGACTGGCCACAAAAAGACAGAAAATGACTATAAAGAGGCACAAAATGTCCACAATGAGACACAAAAGAACCACAAAGAGACAACAAAAAGGAGGCTTTTATCTGTCTGTTTATGGCCTGTTATGAGAAGATCATGTACCGTATCAATTGTTAATAGACGAACCTCAGTAACTTCATTGTTGTGTAATTTTTATGCAGTGCCAGATTTTTATAGACTTCCCAGTTTTTTGCAACTTCTATATCGCTACACATCTACTGTACTTTTTACTCTACATTCAACGGGCAGATTTAGTCACTGAGCTTAGCCATGAGTGCTTCTTCCACTGACAGGATCTTTTTTTTTCTGACATCAGATCAGATAGGTATTCCAGACTTTCATGCTGGAGCCATGGAGAACTGGGGTCTGATCACGTACAGGGAGACGGCGCTGCTATACGATGAGGAGTACTCATCCAACAGCAACAAGGAGAGGATCGCCGCCGTCATCTCCCACGAGCTGGCTCACATGGTGAGGGCTGAAGCCAGCAGTGGAGGGAGACTTCTGTTGCTCCTGCTGGACCTCGCACCCTTTAAACATCTTCAAATCAGGCCTCAAGTTCTAGAAAATAAGTTCAAAGAAAGTCTCAAGTCCGAAAAATCAAGTTTCAAATTGAGTCAGAAGTTTCACATCTAAGAAAGCCTGTTAAGTCTGAGTCTTAAGTCCTGAAAAAGTTCAAATTGATGCTCAAGTCCTAAAAAATAAGCTCAAGTCAAATCTAAAGTCATAAAAAACAAGATAAAGTCGAATCTCAAGTTCAAATCGAGTCTCAACTCTTGGAAAATAAGGTCAGATTGAGTCTCAGTTCTTGAAAAGTTTAAATTGGGTCTCAAGTCCTAGAAAACAGGTT